GTTCATCCCAGGTTAGTGGTTCTCGAAAGCTTCCACCGGAATGCATCTGGTTAAGCCTTTTAAGGTACCACCTGGCGCCTTAAGGTTTGGTTTCTGCGATATCGCACAGACTTCTTTTCATCCCCAGCCCCATTCATTCTCCTCCATGGCATTCTCCACTTCTGCCGCGCATCCTAAATCCCCGCCTGTCACTCACTCACACGCATCCTCACGTTCATCCACCCAAGCGCCAAGGAGACACGCCCCCTTTCTTCCTGCCTTGTCTCTTCCCTTGTCAACCAGGCCAGGAGTCTCCTCTTTTTCTTCTCTGCCTCATTTCTTGCATCCTCACGCCACCAGTTCTTTCTGGTATGGACAGAAAGAGATGCAAAGGTGACCATGAGTCTGGTCCTCACCCGGCATTTCATTGATGACTTTTTGTAGGGACAGGTTGTTCTGGATGACTTTCAGCAGGCCTGATTTATTGGCATGCACTTGATAAGCCTTAGGCATCTACTTAGCTTTCCTATGTCAGATCATTTAATTCCTGGCAAGGGGTACACTTCAACATTTTAGGTTCATTACGTGTACAGTATGCAATTGATGGAGCTGCAGTGGCTCAAGTGGTTAAGACGCTGAACTCTTAACCGAGTTGCCGCATGACGAAGTGAGCTCCCGTCTCTGGCCCCAGCTCCTGCCAACCTAGCAGTTTGAAAGCAAGAAATTGCAAGTAGATAAATAGGGACCACCTCGGTGGGAAGGGAACAGCGTTCCGTGCGCCTTGGTGTTTAGTCATGCCGGCCACATGACCACGGAAACGTCTTCGGACAGCGCTAGCTCTTCGGCTTTGAAACGGAGATGAGCACCGCAACCCTAGAGTCGGACTCGACTGGCTTTCGAGCAAGGGAACCTTTACTTTTTTACTGTTAGAGAATCTTTGCTTCCATTTTGATCCTTTATTAATGCAAGGAGAGCAATTACATGTGTCCATAAAAATCTTACCCAAAGACAACCAGCTCACAGGCAAGGAACCTCTTCTAATAAAAGGCTGCCAACCAATTCATCTTCCTATTTGTATAGGTTTTTAAAAGAATCTTCTAACAGTAGCTAGCTGTCAAGTTCAGTTACTGTTCCCCTACATTCCTGACCATATCTGTGACAAGGTACTTACCGTGTGAGTGACCCGTTCAAGTGTAAAGTTAGCCTACGGGCAATCAGTTGCCCAGGTATGTCTCTGGTGGGTAGGTGTGTTGGTCTGAAGCAGAGGAACAAAGCTTGAGTCCAGCGGCACCTTTAAGACCAACAAAGTTTTATTCAAGGTGAGCTTTCGTGTGCACACACACTTGTGCTTGTCTGAAGAAGTGTGTGTGCACATGACAGCTCGCCTTGAATAAAACTTTGTTGGCCTTAAAGGTGCCACTGGACTCAAACTTTGCTCTCTAGGTATGTGTGCTACTGATATGCTAACTGCATGGGAATGGACCAAGTTAAAGTAGGGAGTTAATGTCTGTTGGAGCACATGTGGAATGTAGCTAGCTAGCTTATCCCACCCTTCCTCGCAAATGACTCTCACCTGCCTTGTGTTGTGGCAAGCATTTGGCCCATGGATGTAGTCAAGGGTATTTTGCTCCTGGGTGTCACTCCTGTCAGATTATGAAAGAGGAAATAGGGTGGTGGTTATGGGTGGGACTGTCAGGTGTGGTGCCAAAGGCTGAATGAAAGATGAGAGAAGGCAGCAATGACTCCTCTTATTCAGCTCCTTTGTTGTTATTTCCAGAGCATTTAACATGTACAAGGTGCTGATCTGTTTTTTTTGTAGCTGCATCCTGTCCTTCGTCTTGGGAGTATATAGCATTTTACTCTGATAACAACCCTATGAAGTAAGTTAGGTTTGAGAGTTGATGGGTTGGATCCAGATAGCTTTTGGACTGGTGAAAAAGGAAGAACCATCAAAAGGGCTCTGCTGGAGATCATGGAATCTGCATGGAGAAAAAGCCATGTGGAACACAGGCTGTAAAGCTAGCTGGATCCAACCCAATGCCATGCCTAAGATCACATAGTGACCTTAGTAGCAGGGTAGGAATTTAAACCTAGGTCTCTACAGTCGGACATTGCTCCACCCTTTGCTTCCTTGAGGACTACACAGCCACATTCAGGCATTGTGATAAACGGTGATTTGATCAAACCTCTGTTTTTTATGAGGTCTGAATGTAAGTGGTAAAATAAACAGGTTTATTGGTTGTTACCAATTTAGAATTTCAATCTAGTGTTTGTGCCTTTGGTACTCATCATGGCTTGTTTTATATCTCAGTTTGCAACCCAGTTTGTTGAATTGCATTGTTCTTTATGGGTGCCTGGTCTTTGCTGGAAAGTGGAGAGGAAACAAAAAGTAAACTGGGGTTTGTTACATCAGCATTTCTACAAGTCATGGTTTACTGTGATGGCTGAATGCACCCAAAGTGTACATTTCTTATTTCACAAACAAAATATTTGCTTGTAACTTACAGGGCAAACATCCTGATTCCTAGCTGCCACAAAATTATGTGTAATAGGCCAGTGAACTCATTCATTTGGATGGTGTAAGCACTGTGCTCTATTTCTTTACTCATTTTTTTAAAAGTATATTTTGAATCTCATGATTTCATAGATACTCAGCAACAAAATGTGAAATGAGTATAATTAATACATGATTGCCATTTGGGGGTGGAGAGGGAAGAAGCCTGTAACAATATCTTAGGCAGAAGACATTTTTTTATTTGGGTCATGTAACCTTATTTTTGTGGCATGATGTCCCAAGAGGAAAGTTGACCCGGAACTTTTTGATCTGGAGATGATCTGTGTGTCATTAAGCACTCTGGCCTTCCATTTCAAGCTGTATTTTTGGCTTAGGGGATTTAAAAGCTGGAGGGGATGGAGGCTGACAGGGATCTGTGGTATTTTGGCTACATTTGGCAGGCTTTTGCAAAATACAAGAAAATGAAATGCTGCCTTGTAGGTGGGGATAAGGGTACTGCAAGGAGTTCACAGCTTTAGATATCAGGGATTGCCCAAATTTTGGGGACTGATTTGGTAACCAAATGCCAGGGTTGCACCTGAAATCTCTTTCTGATTAAATTTTCACCATGACCTCATTCTTTATGTAGCTGAAACAGTGGTGGTGTTCTGTCATGGTGCAGGGTGTGGCTTCTCCTTGATCGTTTTTGTTTATAAAGGGCTTAAAGAAAATGCTTTCGGAATATAAAAATCCTTATCCTCATGTCAAACTGGGGTTATCTAGCCTCTCTGACCAGTACTTTATTATTCATGCCACTGAGGCAGAAGGTGTTTCTTCAGGTACATCTGTTGGCTTTGTCTCTTACTTAGACTGGCTGTTGTGCTAGGGTTATCAGGGGTACTGTGGAGTGTGGAGCTGCGGTGGCTCAAGTGGTTAAGACGCTGAACTGTAGGCTGTGGAAGGTCAGTAGTTCAGCAGTTCGAGACCCGGGTGCCGCATGACGGAGTGAGCTCCCGTCTCTAGTTCCAGCTCCTGCCAACCTAGCAGTTCGAAAGCAAGAAATTGCAAGTAGATAAATAGGTACCGCTTTGATGGGAAGGTAACAGCGTTCCGTGCACCTTGGTGTTTAGTCATGCCGGCCACATGACAACGGAAACATCTTCGGACAGCGCTGGCTCTTCGGCTTTGAAACGGAGATGAGCACCGCAACCCTAGAGTCGGATTTGACTGGCTTTCGAGCAAGGGAACCTTTACCTTTACCTTTTACTGTGGAGTGTGGGGTCAGCAATATAGGACGTTCATTATGCCACCTGGAAAGCTAATACTCTGGAATAAGGACCATGGCTTTTTAGATAAGGAAATTGGCAACTGCATCTTCTTCCTGCTTCAAAGTGACAGACTGGTAACAAACTGTCTTGATGTCTCCAGCCTAAAGCGTCTCAATGTGGCAACAGATGAAACAGGTCTGAAACAAAGTGGAAAGCAAGCTGGGAAGCCCTGTTCTGTTATAAGCTTTTTAAAAAGCCAGGAAATTTTCAACCTAGATGATAGGAAAACAGAAACTTGCATGCATATAAATTCATTTATAAACCAGTGTGGCTTTAAACAGGAAAAAAAGTTATAGGCCATATAAATACCTTTCTATTAGAACTACGTAGAATGCCACAAAATAGTGAATGCAAGCTTTGGAGTTCCTCAGAACTATTCACCAGGCTAGCTGTTAAGCACAAAAAAAGAGACGGAGGGGGAAAGAAAGAGAGAGAATGTGGTAAAAAATGTCTTCTTGCAGATTATAACTTTCTGACAATAGACTAGGGTAAATGTGTTCACATGGTGAAAAATGGAAATCAGATTTTAAATTAAATCAGAGGCGATAGTGTATAGGACTCTTATTTTACGTAGTTGTCCTAGAAAGGGTTTTAGTAAATGGAAGATGATCTTAGATTACTGCTTTTGAGGGTTACATCTATTTTATTTATTTGCTGCTTCTCACGGCCTCTGGTGCAATTTGAAATCCATTTTGTACCTCTCATCATGTAATGCAATTAAGTCTGCAGTATCTCCATCATCAGAAAGGTAAAAACTGCCCCCCCCCCTAATGTGTGTGAGGTGTATAACATCCAGCCAGATAAAGAGTTTGGGGGAACTCTAAATCTTGGGCTTATAGCTTTTTGACATTTTAGTTGGTTTTAACGAAAAGGGATTGCCTTACTGTTGTATTTTGGATTTTTCCCCATGGATCAACACAATATTTTCTATTATACTCAGAATATAACAATGGCTGTTACTGGGGAGTGGTGACAGCACCAGCTCTGCCTTCCAAAATTGTTCTCTCAAGCAAGGGAAAAACTCTTTGTTGTTGGTTCCTGTACTTTGCCTGTCTGCTTATACACACACAAGGACAGGGTCAGGAGCTACTTGTGAATAGTGGCTTGCTGTCTCAAGCATCATACTGTTACACTTCCAAGTAGATCTGATGGTAAGGAGAACTCCAGCTTGCTTCTTTCAGTAGGCTGAATCCTTTTCAAATAGATGCTGGCAACCAGCAGTCTTTTGTTCTAGCCCGTTTGGGGGGCAGGGGTGTGAAGGAAGAAATCCTGCTTTCCTCCTTGTGAGTGAAGATGACCAGAAACTGTGCACTTTGAGGGGATCTACTTGTGATTAAGCATCCTAGTCTTCCATTTCAAGCTGTGAGCATGCTTTTTCTCTTGCAGTGCCTGTCTAGACATTGCAAGGAAATTAGGCTCCCTGTAATGAGACACTTGCTTCCCAGTGACAAAACCTGAAAGTGGAGACCTAATCAGATACAGTACTTGGGATATGGTCTGGATTATGCCAGGTGTTCCTAGGATGCATTGATCCTTGTGTGTGTGTGTGTGTGTGTGTGTGTATAAATTTTGAGTTGCATCTAGTAATAGGACCAGAGAATCCCAGTTTCTCACCTTGTGGTCTGGCTAAGGCTTGCTCAGCATCCGCTTGCCTGAGAAGTGCTCTTTCAAAGTCAAAGACTCATATCCCAGAGTAGAGCAATGAGGTGATTATAGTCTGTTCTAAAAGTAGGTCACTGCTGTTGTCTGAAGCGACATGGAAGAGGGCCATGGACAAAATAACCTCAGGTCTCTTTCTCAGCTGTGTCTGGAAGGTGCTCACGTACAGTTAGGAGGCAAGAGGGCGAATAAGAGTTCACATAAAAGCTTCTTCTTACATAAGCATTTATGTGTTGAGAGGCATAAGTGTCAGTTTTCATGGCTGGAAAAATCCAAGATCCTTGTAAACCTAGTGACTAGGTATGGCACCTGGGGATTTCAGTAGCCCAGTTTTGTGCAACATAGGCGCCTAAAACACTAAAGTTAGTGCCAAAGAATTAGCCATTTTTTTCCAGCTGTGTCTTGCTAGAATCTGCCTTAGGGAACAAACAGCAAAAATTGATGGCATTGACAGTAGAGCAGTAGAGAATGCTATAAAGGTTACGACTGTATACATAGTTCTCGACAAGTGATTTTAAAAGGTAAGAATGTTGACTGAGAATGGGAACCCAGGTGTCATGGCTACTCTCAGGTACAAATGATCATGTCACCCTCTCAGTGGCAAAATCAATAGGCACAATAATCAAACATAAGAGAAATAATACTGAGTAAGGTCTTTTAAAATATTTTTTGTTCTAATTTCTGCTTGAGGTGATAGCCGTATGAGCAGTACTAGACAGACAGACAATGGGGAAAGTGTGTGTGAGTGAGACAGAAATGCAGTGATGTTGAACAGCAAAAAGAGAGATGGGAGTGAAGTGTTCTAATTGGATGAGAGGATGTGACTGAGGGGATTACATATATAGATAGATACAGATATATTTGAGAGAGGTTAAGACAAAAGGCAGTTTGTTTTTAGGTCTTTTTAGGTAGGGCTAGGGTAGGTAGGTAGGGTTTCTATAAAGTTAGGTAGATGGAAAAATATATTAGTGGTAGGATTAGAAAAGGTTAGGTTTATTGTGTATTTCTTAACACTGTGTTTCTTGAAATAAAGTTGATTCTTATTCATTTTACTTACTAACATGTCTTTGAAGGTTCTGCTGAAATTGAAGATTAATGGTTTCAGAAGTAAACCTAACAGTAGATATCCCTCTGTACCAAATGGGTATTGAACGTGGGTCCAGTGTGATCCTGGTGGCAGCATAATTTCTGGGAACTAAAGGAGATTGGGAAAACGGCTGCCATTCAGTGAAGGAAGTGTCACACTGGTCCTCTGGAAAATAAGTTTTTTGACATTGCTTGAAGAGTTGGAGGAGAAAGATTGACAACAAGCGCAAATAGAATCTACCAAGTAAGCTAAGCCAATGATTGTAGATTCTTACTAGGAAACAATGGGGGTGTAAATATTTTAATAAATAAATTGGAATAGGTGGGCTGAAAGCCAAGCATGTGTTTGCGGGGCGGCGTTAGAACAGGGTGATATTTTAAATAAATACAGAGGGCAAAGACATCCGATTAGAGTCTTCATCCCAGTTTAGAGAAGGTAGTTGTGGTTTATAGGAAAACAAAACTCTCTATGTAGTTGATACACATTCTTTAGCCTGCTTTTTGTTACCTAGGATTCAAAGGCTCCAGCTTCACTGATCTGGGTGGCATAATTGTCTGTCCTGCCTCTCCTCTCCAGACAACAGGGCCAAGTACAGCATGGTTCTGGAAGGAAGATGGGTTCTACTCGAGTGACTGCGAAGGAACTGTGTGAAAATGATGACCTGGCGACTACTTTAGTGCTTGACTCCTACCTCGGATTTAAGACCCATAAGATGAACGTGAGGTGAGGGACAGAGATCCCAAATGTTTGGAGCTTTTTGGCCTGCATTAAATTTGAGGGGTAGGGGACCAAAAGGGCTTGGACTACTAGAAAGTAAGGACTGAAAGCAATGAAGAGAGCTGTGTGTTTTACTCTTCTGCTCTATTCCTCCAGTCCCCTGCCAGCCATCAGAAGAAAGCACCATTTGCGGGAGGCAGTGGAAGCCTTCCGGAAGCGCAGAGACCTAGAAGCGGCTTACCAGGCTTTGATGCAGGGAGGATGGGCCTGCCAGTACTTTCAGAACCGGAGCCGTCAGCAGGAGGCTGCCTTCAAGACTCATGTACAATTTTTATAGCTTGTCTACTTCTGGGGGAGGATGGGAATGGAGAGTCTTTAGGAAGTCTTAGGTTCTCTGAATAGGGTGCTGTGGGTTGAGCTGGGAGTAGCAGGCTAAGATGTAGACTTACGGTTGGTAGATTCTAACTGGCTGTAAGCTTTTGTCTCTTAAAGGTTGCACTCCTGTGAGAAACTCCCACTGGATATAGTAGGACTTACTTATAAACATAGAATTATGAAGTTGGAAGGGACCTCCAGGGTCATCTAGTCCAATCCCTTGCACAATGCAGGAAATTCACAAATACATCCCCTCCCCACACCCCCAGTGACCGCTGTTCCATGCCCAGAAGTTGACAAAAAAACCTCCAGGATCTCCAGCCAAACTGGCCTGGAGAAAAATTTCTTCCTGACCCCTACTTCTCAGTAGACATACGTTGGCTTAGTCTGCATGGCTTCTGCTGCATGAAGGGGAGTCGTTTTCCCTACCTCCTTTAGTTCCCAAAAACTATGTTGCCACCCTTCCTCCTTTCTTTGTGGGAACCAGTCCTGGATGACATATAAAGTTTCTTGCTGCCAGGTAGCTTTAGAAGCAGCAGCCAGGGACTAAGATGCATGCATTTTGTGGGAGGGGACAGCTCCAGAAGGTGGGAAGTGGAACTAAGAGATACCGTGGCTTTTCTGGGGGAAGCTGGGTTTGTTATACCAGGGGAGCGCTAAAAGGGGCATTAAGCTGTCTTAGATGTGGGGTAGGCCTGGTGCCAATAAGATCATGTTGAGCCCTGAGCCCATGTTGGAAGGGCGGGATACAAATTTAATAAATAAATAAATCATGTTCTTTCTGGGAGGACATTCTGAGAGGATAGACTTATGGACTGTGGGTGTTGGTTCTCTCCTCCCTAGATATTTCGCTACCTTCGCATTTTCCTACCTGAGAGTGGTTTTGCTATCAGGCCCTGTAGTCGCTATTCCCTGGAAGTAAATGGGGCCCGGGTTGTCGCTACGAAGTCATGGTAGGTTTGTGATGCTGAATACTCCCCACCTGTACCCCCTTGTCTCAGTATAATTCATTTCTCCCTTAGAAACACCCTTTATGCCAATGATAGTAGCTCGGGAGCCACTTGTGGCTCTACTGAGCACCATTCCCCAATACGGCCCTGCCTCATGTTCCAAGAAAGTGAGCAAGACCATTGCTGGGGAGGGCATGTGTTTGACATGTGTTCCCTCCTTGAAACAGTAGCCACCAAATGGATTGGAGGATGGGTTAGTCTTCCTAAGCTCTGGGTCTGGTATTATGGGTGGAAGGGCCCATCCTTTCAAACACCTCCCCTGCCCTTTGTGGCCTCTCCACTCAGGTGGCTGCTGGGAGGAGAGCAAGCTTCAGAGAAGAGAGGGTCAAACCACTACGACACTAGCTACCCAGGAAAAGAGCAAGCCGGTCACAGTGGTGATGGTGGTTTTATTCCTTTCTCCCCAACCAGCTTGATCTCCTCTTGGTGCCTTGGCAGTCTCATTCTCTTGACCAGCCTGCTGTGCCTCGTGTTGAGGCAAGAGCAAGAAGGCAGAGAGGAGTCCCTTCCATTCACATTCACAAGATAACACAGAGGCTGGCTATGGGGAGAAACAAGCCTAAATGCACAAAAGTAATTTGGTAATTGGGCTACAGTTATATATTGAATATAGATATATTGTATACTTGTGTGTGTTTGGGGTGGCACACAGAGTCACATGGCTCTTTTGGTTGATGGTAATGGTGAATTTTGGAGCTGTGGTGGCTTAAGTGGTTAAGACGCTGAACTGCAGGCTGTGGAAGGTCGGTAGTTCAGCAGTTCGAGACCTGAGTGTGCCGCATGACGGAGGGAGCTCCCATCTCTAGTTCCAGCTCCTGTCAACCTAGCAGTTCGAAAGCAAGAAATTGCAAGTAGATAAATAGGTACCACTTCGGTGGGAAGGTAACAGCGTTCTGTGTGCCTTGGTGTTTAGTCATGCCGGCCACATGACCACGGAAATGTCTTCGGACAACGCTGGCTCTTCGGCTTGGAAATGGAGATGAGCACCGCAACCCTAGAGTCAGATTCGACTGGCTTTCGAGCAAGGGAAACCTTTACCTTTACCTAATTGTGAATTTGGCTCCCTCCAAGCCACAGAGAGAGGAGCACTGAATGCCAGTCTGATTAAGACTTTGTATAAGCACACATAAACTTTGCCACTTTGGATCTCTTGTTTAAGGTGAAAGCTGGGATACAATTATTTTATGCTAAATTAATGACCCTCTCCTAGAGCTTGGAACCAGGGTGGGGGACTCTGTTGGCCTGTGGGGTCATTTTTCTCCCTTCCCCCATAAGGAAGAAGAATGACAAGCTGGAGCTTTTGGAGGGCTACATTGCAGAATTGACGGAACCAGATGAGAGCCTTCTGCGTACAGGGGAAAATGACTTCAGCATCATGTACTCCACGCGGAAACAATGTGCCCAGCTCTGGCTGGGACCGGCTGCCTTCATTAATCATGGTATGTGAGGGCTCCTGGTTCAGCCTCTTGTTCCTTACTCTGTAGGCTTTCTACTTATTCTCACCCCCACCCCAGTCTTGCAGTTCTGCTAAGACTCTTCTCCCTGACCGGGTTTCTACACCAGGGAAGTCTGTTTGGAATATGTTGTGCAGATTTTTTTTTTTGGGGGGGGGGGGGTTATTTGTATAATAAAGGCTCCTTCCACAGAAGTATTAAATATAGCTTAACGAGTGTAGGCTCATAGAAGGAGCCTCTCACTGTGTTTCAGTCCCTCTTCTGTGAGCCAGTTTGGTGTAGTGGTCAAGTGCGTGGACTCTAATCTGGGAGAACCGGGTTTGATTCACCACTCCTCCACTTGCACCTGGCTGGATGACCTTGGGCAAGCCATAACTCTGGCACAGCTGTTCTTGAAAAAGAGCAGTTTCTGTCAAGAGCTCTTCTGCAAAGCAGTGGCTGTTGATGGAGGGTCCGGTATCAGTTGAGCTGGGCCAGGCTAATGGAAAGGATCTTGCTCTGTCGTTCCCTCTCCCTCTCCTGCAGAATGACTGGTGGTTGAAGGGAATCCTAGAGGGCAGGACCTGGCTAACAGGGAGGGAGGCTGATGGGAAGGGTCACGGTCACCTTTCCTTGATGTGCTTGTATGTGTGAAATACTCTCTACCTGTGTGTGTGAAATACTGCACAGTTTCGAGATAATATTTTTTAGGGTTTTGAATATTTTGGCAAGTATTGGGAGAAAACAAGAAGAGAGGTGTATGTTGCTTGTTAAGACAGATGGGCTGTAGGAACAGGGAAAAAGGAGATGGTACAGTCCTGTTACAAAAAACCTAGGCTGCCATCAAAAAGGTGTTAAGAATCTGTTGAGCTTTCATGTTATCTTTTACTGACACATTTGTGTGGAGATAGTCTCATACGAGAGCTCCCCAGACCTGTACTGAGAACTGCTGATCTTAGGCTACCTTGATCAGAACTTTGAAAGACAAAGTTGTCATGTGATTACTGTAATGATCACATGCCTAAAATAGCTGTCTGCATCCAACTGCAGAAAGGAGGGAGAAATGCCCTTCAAACTTTTCCTGGAAGCCCCACCCCTGGTTCATTGGAATCCTTGTTTACTACCACCCTTGGTTTTCAAGCTTTTCTTCACGACTGTAAGATTAGATTATCACGATGCACATTATCTAAGCCTAATTTTGCTTAAACTCTTAATTACTTTGAGAGAGAGCAGCAGAAGATGTTCTTTACTCCAGCCTGTAAGAGGGATGTAAGGAAGAAGAAACAAGTGGTCCATTATTTTTATAATTTGTGTTTGTCTCTCTCCATCCCCATCCCCATCCCTACCTCTTCCTATACAATTTGTCCTTCACAATGGACCCTTTCAGACTGCAGGCCGAATTGTAAGGTAAGTTACTAGTGTCTTCTGGCTGGGGTTGGCGGTACTACGTATTAAAAGAACCAATGCTCGGCATATGACGTAAGCCCTGCAGACTCGCTCCATAAACTTGGTTCTGACTGTGGCATCCAGTCAAGGTGCAGAATTCTCAGGGTATTTTGGTAGAGTCTGGAAGACAAGGGAAGCAGTGCCCTAGAAACAATTGGGAGGGGGAGGGAGATTTGTGAACTGTAAAAGCTCCACCTCCTGGTTCCTGGAAACCCAGCCCATCTCTCTCACTCTACCAGGCACAGACTGCCAGACATTTCTTCTCCATCTCATAGACTGGAAACTATTTTATTTATCAAGACAGGGGAGAACCAGAAAAAAATAAATCTGACAGCCTCTGTTGGCACCTGTTGTTCTGCTTCTGGGACATTTGGACTGGAAGAACTAAGGAGTCAGGAAGCAAATGGTGTTTTGTGGCTTAGAGTAGCCACAGGTGGGAGCTGAAACTCCTGCAGTCTCTGAAAAAGGAAAGGACAGAGGAGGAGTCCATTGGATTTTTATGGGGAGGGGGTTAAAAGGGACACCCTGGTCCCCAGCAGTCCAGGTTTTCTTTTGTTTCCTACCATTCTTCTCCCTTACTACATTGTTTATCTCCGTGGCAGTTTGTCCCAATGGATGGGAATACGGCGTGCGTCAAGGTGCTGCGGGACATTGAGCCAGAAGATGAGATCACATGCTTCTATGGCGACGGCTTCTTTGGGGAGGACAATGAGCTGTGCGAGTGCTGCACTTGTGAAAGGTGAGTGCTTTGAGAGCTTGGAGTTGGCAGAGGGGAGGGGTGGGGAGTAGTGTACATCATGGAGTTTCCAGAAGTGGAGTAAGGTTGTGGTTTTTTAAAAAAGGGCTGGGTCCTTAGGTTCTCCTTTTTTATCGCCTCTTTCAGGAAGGGGGAAGGAGCTTTCCGATTCCTGAATCGGACACCTTCGCAATCTACCTCAGTCCATGACAAATATCTTTTGAGAGAGACAGATGGCCGTCTGCAGCGGTGGAAAGGCCAGATGTGCAAGCTGGCTCAGCGCAGCGTAAAAACAAGGCGCAAGTCCCGGCGCAGGAGGGCCCGATCACGGGGTGAGATTTGCAAGGGTGACTTGCTGAAACCTGTGCAAGTGTGGTGGGGCTTGGTCATTTGCTCAGAGTAGTTTTGTTAATAGAGGAGAGCCTCCCCGTTTCTGCCTGCCATTGCTTGCCCACGTTCTCCCTTCCATCCCACGTTCTGCCACTACAGGGCTTGTTCCACAGCCTGGAAGAGTCGTGTGGAGTCATTTTAGCTCTCTTCTCCTCTGGCAGTATTAATAGCACTGTGGTTTGGGTTGAAGAGAGCACCTGAAAACTGCCACCTTTCCTAGGGCTAGGGAGAGGCGACCCAGAGAGATCTGTGCTTCTGGAAAGAAACGGTATGGGGCTGCACTTCTTAGAGGTTTTGGGAGGCTTGCATCACCTTTTAGAGGCTTTGGGGGAAAGTTCTGTAGTGGGAGGAGGAGGAGGAGGAGCAGGCAGTGCCACTTGTTTGTATACTAGAGTTGCCAATTTCCCAGGTGGGGCCTGGAGATTTCCCAGAATTATAGTATCTTCAGAATACAGAGATTGGTTCCCCAGGAGAATATGGCTGCTTTGGAGGCTCTATGGCATTATATCCAACTGAGGTCCTTCCCCTGCTCTCCTGAGGCTCCACCCTCAGAGCTCCAGAAATTTCCCAAACTGGAGTGTACTGAAGAACAATAGATAGCCATGCAAGTGCTGAATTGTACCTATGACTCTGTTGGATTAGGTTGGGATTACCAAGTGGGTGGGGAATGGTTCTGGAAACCAACTTTCCTTTTCCTTCTCCAGGTGCCCTGCGCAAATCCACCCTACACTGGAGATTCAGACTCCTCAAGCCTCTGTACATCCCATTGCACGATTGCCTGGCTTGCGGGGCACGTAGGTGCAAGATCCGTAAGGAGCTACTGGTGTACCTGCCTCCTTGTCCTCCTTCCATGTTACCTGCCTTGCACCGCTGGCGTTCTTTGCATAACAATAGAAGCCGTTTGATGGCCCTAAGAGACTGTTCTTTCACAGGAACGCACAACAGGCCTGTGATCTCAGGCTGGGCAGAACGGCGCAGCTTGTTTGTGGATCTTGGCAAGAGAGTGACCATGGACTTGGCAGTGTTTGAGAGAGAAGTAGAATGTGGGACGGGGAAGACAGAGCCACATAACAGCAATAGGGAGCTTGGGCAGGGGTCTGAGGAGCATGGCACAGGAAATGTGGATAGGCATTATGAGGCTGGGCCATGTAGTTTAGGCTCTGAGGTGCTAGGCTCAGGGGATCAAGAGCCCCTTGGCTCCTCGGTCTCTTCTTCCTCCAGCCAACTGCTATACAGGACAAGGAGCATGACCCGGCATCAGGCCCAGGGTTTGCACAAAGTCCCGCTGTCCTCACCAGCAGTAGACCCCAAGCTTTCCCAGTATGCTCATGTTCATCTTGGAGGCGGGCAGCGCTGGCAGCAGCCCCCTCCTAACAGGATGGATAAGGACCAGGTAGAGGAACAGCACCCCCCTAAACAAATGCCTTCTTTCCCCCCTTTCATGCCACCCAAGCGGCTCCGACTGGTGGTGAGCCACGGTTCCATTGATCTTGAGGTGGCTTCCAGCTCTTGTGAAGAGCTGTCCTGATTGGGCTGATCTCCAGGTAAAGAAGAGACCCTGCTTTTTTCTGAACTTTGGTTGTTGAGAAGTCAGGACAAAAGCCACATACCAGAATTGGCCTGAAAGCATCTCTTGACACTCCACCCCCCCCCCCCAAATCATCTTATTGTACAGGGTAAGAAGAAATCTCTTCTGTCCTGGTGTGATACAGCCTCATACTCCTTGTGGGTATCTGTGCTAAGAATGCCACCCTGTAATCCATCTCTCTGTTTTTCCAATGCAGATTGTTTCAGTTGTCCCCTTCCAGGGAACTCTCTCCATCCCACCCGCACTTGCCCCCCACCCCTTTTTTTAAAAGCACACTACCACCTGGTCAAACCTTACTTCAGAACTCTGAAACGGAAGCCATACAGTCGGCTGCACGGATGCTTGGGACTCTCTCTCCTTGCCCTCTTTGATTAACTCTGCTTGCTCACCCAGTTGTTCCGCCTTTTGATTCTAGATGTCCTCACGCTCTGGTCTGTAGTAGTTTAACCATGGACTCCTCAGAGAAATGGACTACATGGTGCTTTGCTGTTCATTGGCCATACAGGGCCTATAATGATGGCATGGGTGAAGCTGACTTGTGGGTAAGAGAAGCCAACATCCAATCAGGGAAGCCTCTTATATCATTGTAAAAGCAAACAAACCAGCAACCACAAGTGCACATTTGCATGCAACCCATTTAGCTTAAAACTGATAGCTGCCATATGCTGAACAGGTTGATCTATGGAATTCCCCCTCCCCCCCTCCTTTGGGTGCCTACAGTAATAAGACATCTGATTTTCTACTTTTAAAACTAGGTTTGTATTGACTGGGTTTGTTGATTTGTTCCCTGATGGGGCTTTGACACTACATTGTTCTGGGGGTTTTGTGATACTGAAGGTTTTCAGGGTTTTTTTTTATTTGGTGTACAGTTCTCAGTTGACGGAATTTTATGCAAATATTCCGGATTGTGGTCTACCAGTAGAGAATGAGGTATTGTACTGACGAGTTCTGAACAAGGACTGCTTGGCTCAGAGCATTATGATAAGGTTCTGTCCCTCTGTGAGGTGCTGGTTTGAGCAGAATAAACAGTTCTGCTTGTGATGGTTGGGTTCCATTCAAAACCCATTGTTTAAAAAAGAAAGAAAGAAAAGAATCTTCTGTATATTTGCCTACTGGTCCAGTCTTGACGATTCTTAGGATTTTCAGCAGGTGGCGCTTCAAGTTTTCTCTTTTGGGTCACTGGGCTATGTAGAAATCTTAACTGAGGGTTAGCTGGGAATTGGAATCTAGCAGCTACTGGACCCTCTAGAGCCCTGTGGCAGCCTTTCCCTGTGAAGTTTTGCTTCATTGTTCAGGCAGAATTTCTGTATTGAACTTTGAAGTGTCAAGTTGAGAATATGCTTTGCCAGGAGTCAAAAGGAGGATCTGATTTCTTCCTTCCATTCCTTTTCTGTATGCTACCTGGCATGTTGCATTTCAGTCTTAGAGAGACTGTATAAGAGGCAGGTGCCTGCCTATGAATTACACTGGTGTCCCTTGTTCCTTGAGGTCTGTCTTCAAGAAACTGTAGAGCTGCTTTGAAGAGTTTTGGCTCCAGGACAGATGTGTTTAGACAACCTGTTTTTCACGGATCTTCAGGCTCAAGTGCCGGTTCCTGGGATATTACTTGTGTGGGTTTGGTTTTTTTTTTAGCGGTTTTTAGAGGTAGTTTTGTGATGTACGAAGGAGGAAGTTGCAGCTAGGAGAATTTATTACTGATAACTCCATCCCAAGAATTAACCTATTTATAATGCAGGGAAAATCTTTGTTAATCTGAAAGCTTTGGAAGAGGCAGGCCCATTTTGCAACCTTCAGAGAGAACTGACAACCCTTCAGCTATGAATTTTGGCCTTCCATGGGCCCTAATAGAGTACATTCATTAATGCAGATCAGCCTCTGCCGTGGCAGACTTTGGAGAATGTTCATGGATGCTGGCAATTATACAGACATTCACAAAGGCCTGGAGAAAGTACACACTCTCAGCATAAAAAGGGTATTTCCCCCCCCCCCCTCCTTGCCAGGTCAATATTTATACAGTCCACACTTTGAGGCAAAGTTTTAAAATAACCTTTTTGGGCTGCCCATTTGAGTGTGTCTGCTCCTCCCCTTACACAACTGTTCACAGTTGCTTCTGTTCATGTGCATTCTCCATGTAATTCTCTCTAACCAGTCTGTATACTACACTACCAGTCGCTGTATTGTTCACTGAAAAAATTGGTCTGTAGCTGAAATTGCACATCTTCTACTGTTCTCGTATTTCCTGTATGCTCATGCATTCTTTGTTCTAGTGGTTTTGCTTCTCCTCAGATTCTTCTAGTTCAATACTGGCTTTTCATCACAGACAAATGATCCTAGTTGCTTCTTGCCACTTGTACTTCCCCCCCGATTTTGCTGACATGCAATGCCTTGTGGTGCTGCTGTCTCCAGTATGGTGCTCATTTCTTGCCAATATCTGGCTCTGCCAGTGCCGTCCTCTGCCCACAAATGTACCCATGTATCCTTGTTTCTATGACATGATGTTTCGCTAATAGTTTTCTTTTTGCTTCATCAGAACAAATTGCTGAGCATCTATAATGAAGCCATTAAAGAAATAGTTCAAGATGCCCTGACCTGGATAGCCCAGGCAAGCCCGATCTCATCAGATCTCGGAAGCTAAGCAGGGCCATTCCTGGCAAGTACTTGGAAGGGAGACCTTCAAGGAATACCAGAGTTGGGACGCAGAGGCAGGCAATATCAAGCCACCTCTCTGAAACATCCATGCCCCCTAGCATGTCACCAGAAGTCACCATGGCTTCCAGGAGTACTCACCAAAAAAAAAAGAAATAGTTCAAGATGTGCACTTTTGCCTGTGTGTATTGCTGAGCACAGTACCAGGATCTGTGCCAAAAAAAAAAATGACATTTATCTAATTTGCTCTGGGCCCAGATGTGCTAACTGGGCCTAGACCTCTGTTTTTCCTGTCTACTACTGTGTCAATTTGTGGCTGTCCCATGTTGTTGTTAGTAGTGGACTAGTAGGCAACATTTAGGTAGTACTGTTGCATGGGGGCTGGGGGGGAGGAAGGGAGTGAGGTGGTCATGGGCTTTTTGTCGTGAAATGTTGTGGGGGCGGGTGGATGTTGCCAGCCAGGACACTTATGCTCCCTGCTGAAAGCAGGGGGTGGGGCTCAGTTTTCACCTTTCTGTGCCTCTTATTTCCCCATCTTTGCAGATGGGGTTTTGCATTTTAAGCTACCTCGTTTGGGGTGGGGGGCATCAAGATACCCCTCTAGGCTCTGTTTTGAATCTGCTTTTTCTTTAGTACTGTGTCCATTAGCCACGTTCTCCCTCATCCCATGCCCACAGCTTTTACATCTTAAAAAACATACAAATTCTCATGAGTGGAGGGTTGCTGGCCAGTAAATCTCAGAGAAGCAGACCCAATTAACTTCTGTCCCTGCATGCTATGTAAGTGATTTTCGTTCCTTCAGTCAGAAATTAGCTACAGTTCTTGTTTAGGCATTGACTCAATGTCCTTCTCTCTGCCTTGTCAAAATCCAGTCTCTGTTCTCATCCCAGACGCATCGTTATCTGTTACATTTGTGGATTCTAACTACTGTAAGAGGCTCCTCATGCCTGTTCTTGGCCTGGAGCCAGTCTTTCTTCATTGCACAAAAACAAACCTTCCCTCTTGATATAACATCTCCATTTCTCCTACTCCAGGACCACCTGTGTAAATTTGTTCTCAGGAAGGTGTTCAGACACCTTAAACCTTATGGGGGGCGGGTGGGAAAATAGACTGGACAATGGGCAAGGTCTCTGGATAGCTTGGTTCCTCAGGGAGTGGTGGGGTGGAGGGCTTCAGAGCATTGCCTTCTCACACTAGTGTTCAGGATTTCTAACTACACTGTATCAGGTTCATTGCTCACTCCAACTTAAGCCTACTTTTATAATGGGGGTTGTGCAACCCATAATATGCAGGATTTTGGGTGGGATTGGGGTGGGATATGTTGCCACTCTTTCTCCTCCCCTCCATAATTTTCCTAATGCTTTATTTAAATATAGGGCTCTTCCAGCACTTGTCTGCTCACCTTAGGAAACTTAAAAATTAAACTGGACAAGTCTGGGGTTGTGTGTGCGTGCGTGCTTTTTTTTTTTGTCCTTTTCCCCTTGCGAAAGTGGTAGGGATGGTGCCACAGGGGAAGTGTATATTTGCAGGGCTGTGTGTGTTCTTCAGAATTCCAGGCCGGAATAAACCGAACACTGACCCCATATAAATTACAAAAAAAACCCATTTTTGATTTGGTTGCCTTTTTAAGAATTTCATTTCTTTTTAATGAGTCATGTAGAGCACTGAAACTTGACCGCTAGAAACTCTGAATAGCTCCTCCCCATCCATGCTGTGTTTTGTGGGGTTTTGTTTTGGAGATTTAATCTGGTCCATGTACTCTTGAACCTGTTATTTGCAGTCCGAAAGGCTATGGACTTGTGGGATAGGATGATGGAATGCACTCAGCCCTGTGTGTGTATCAGTTTGGATTGAGGGTCAGGAGGGGAGTGGGGGAGGCAGGGACGACTTCTTAATGGTGCTAAACTGGAGAGGGTGGTTAGAAGGGTGCTTTTGACTCCAGAAGTGGGAGTTGGGAGGCCTCAGGGTAGATCTTGCCCCCACAATCAGGCAGGTATCCTGTAAGCGGGGGGAGGGTGAAGGCCGAAAGAGGTGTTTGCTTTTTTAATGGTGTGTGTTTTAGGGGAACGTAATACTTTTTGAAATACTTGATTGGAATAAAAGTCTTTTAAAGCTACTTCTTTGTCTTGTGGTGCATTGGGGTTGGGTGCAGACAGGGACCTGACTGCACGCGTGGCTGAGTAAGAGGCTTACAGAGCGATTGGATCCCTTTGCAAGACGGGGATGTGCTTGGCTTAAGCTTTCCATTCTCAAAGGTATGCTTAAATGTAACTAATATTTTTAAAACAGGTGCAGAATCTACTTTTTTGGCCTAGCAGATCAGTTAACAGGGCAAAACTACACTGACCCATAACATACCTTAAAAGGGAGGCAGAAAAATCTCTGAAAGGATGTGGAATTGCCCCTTTAT